AACAGTCCAACACTTTCATTACTTGAGCATCTCTTAGCCTTAATCTCAGTGTGATTTGCCTTATTTTGTCTGTAAATATGTTTGCCTGATTCTTGCCTTTTTAACTCAGGACAATCTCTTTTAATGTGTCCAATTTTCTTACAATAATAACACTGGGGTCCTTTCTTAATTGTCTTCTCCTTCGACACAAGTGCTCTACTTGGTACTTCCTCCCTTCGTTGTGATATCTTTCGCTCTTCGTGAAGTAATCGTTCAGTTACAAGTTCCATCTTTGGAACTTCTGAGCAAGCCTCAAGAGCAGTTACCAACATATTGTAGGAGTTGGGAAGGCTAGCAAGTAGGTGAACCACCCTGTCTTCTTCATCAACGGCATCTCCTACCACAGCAAGCTCGTTGAAAATCTCTGTTAGAGTTTTAATGTGCTCATGCACAGAGTCCCCATCATTCATTCTAATTGTAAGTAATCTCCTTCTCAGCGCCAGTCTGTTAGCCCATGTCTTCTTTTGAAACTGATCCCTCAGTTTTTCCCAGACAATCTTGGGTTCAACTGGATTCCCGATTAAATACAACAATGAAGTGTCCAACGCCAACACAATGATAGCCAAAGCCCTATCTCTCCTTACAGTAAATTTAGCAACCTTCTCCGATTCAGCTTCGTCAGGTGCAATTTCAGACCCAGTAACAATCCCCCAGAGTCCATCCTTCATCAAGGCCATCTGGCATTGAATTTTCTAGGTCGAATAATTTGCACCAACAAGAGGAATGATACTTGTGTTCATGTTTGCCATTCCGGTAATTCTGCGAACACCGATTCCGAATACAAACCACACAAAAATCGAATCAGCCACAGCTTAGCACAAGATAACGCTATCTGGGCCCATAACCTGTTGAAAATATTATGTTGCTAATCCACGTTGCTAATCCACTTCACAAGGAAGATAATGTAACAAGCAACCACCAAGGTTAGTTCAACGTTTTTAATTTCAAGAGAAAACATGGAGTTCTTCCAACATGGACAGAAGACAGGAACTGCATAACAACATGACGTTAATACACAATAAAATGTGGTGTGCAAAACAATGCGCAACATTCAGTATTTTGTAAATTTTCAACAAAAATAGCCTATGCCAGACTATACCCTGGGATTAAATAATATATATTCTGTAATTTAGTTCAACACGTTTACAAAAGTTCGCTTTATGCTACAATTGTGTTCACGCTCTACGCCCTCAAGACTCGATGCCATGTACGTTCTGTCACACACGGTAGAGTTGATGATTCAAAACGAGGTTAAGGGATAGACATTTGCGGATTTGAGAGCTCACATGTCAAGACCATATGACACTTGGGGTTAGTCTAGCCCGCTGTGAGCATTCTCTTGTAATGAGCAACATATTTTATAGCAATAAATACAGCATTTAATTGTTCCAAGGACTTGCTTTGAAAATTTAAAACTAAACCACAAAACATCGAAGCAATACGCTTTCTACAACTATTCGCACATTTATTTTAAAAAATGAACACTTTTTGTGCTTGTTGCTTTGTATTTTATTCACACATGTACCGTTTACAATAGAAAAATCCACTATTACTTGGTATTAATAAGGAGTACTGTGATCTTTAATATAATAATTATCAAATCTGGCAAATGTTTGTTTTGTAAAATGTTAAAGTTTAAAAAAGGACGTAGAGGGGAGAGAATGAATGATGACATACAAAAAGTAATGGCCTTTAAATATTTCGACAAAACGAATGTAATAGAAACGATAAAAGTACACAATTATATTATACATTAAATTTTAAACAATAAGACACGTGTAAATTAAAAGAACTGTAACAAAATAGGTAGCGTAAAAATGTGCAAAAATAAGCAATATCAAATTGAAAATCTTGTCTTTAGAATTGACATTATTTAACGTCGTAAAAGTGCAACATGACAATGAGAAAACCCAACCTTGGCTGCCGGTTCGGGCTCGCATAGAGTACAAAATTGCAACTCTTTGCTACCGCTGTTAGCATGACCTGGCGACGTCCTAGCTCCAAGCGCTCATGACGACTTATGTACCCACTAGACAACTCCACTCATCCGATAGGGAATGAAGCGTGATTTTAAAATAAACTTTAATATTATCATTATAAAAAATTCTGCTACATTTGACTAACAAAAACAGAGCGTATTAAATTGGAATTTATGAAATTGAAGACTTCGGATCTCAAAAAATGTATATTTATATGTTTCAACAAATATACATAACTCAACGATCTATGAAATATCGACATATTTTTTCAACTGTCTATGTATTTGGATTCTAAGACCTATGAGTGAGGTTTAACTAACTCAAATTGTGTCAGTCTTAGGCCTTATTAGTTTCCAGCTATCACCAGTACTTAAAGACAGGGAGGTCATTTTGGTAGAGGAGGGTGGGGCACACCCCCCCCCTTTGAATTAGCAGGTTTATTTAAATTGTTATGCATTGTGGCACCTCCAGTCATAAACAGCTTAACAAGCCGACCAAGTTTTTGTTTTTGCCCCCCGCCCCCCCCCCCCCCCCCCCCCTTTTTTTTAAGGAAAAAAACCCACAAATGACGCCTCTGCTTAGAGACTATTTAAACAAAAAAACAAATAAAAAAATCAATGAGATTTATCACGTTCAGGAAAAATAATACCACCGGGATGTTTATATATGACATACGCTTCATGTCAGAAATTGTTGGAAATGAGAATGAAATAACAAAAATGTCAGGGATGGAAATGAGAATGAGAATTTTTTTTTTAATATAAAAACTACGCTGGCATGGCATACGGATGATTTGACAAATGTCGTTGAAGTAGACGGGGCAACGTAACCACGTTGGGAGTGTAAAATACTGGTAGAGGTGTATAGTCTATAAAAAAAAAGGTGCGCTTGATCAAGTGCGCACCAGAAGGACACAAAAGAACACAATCGTTTCATAAGGTGCCGTGTAATGTGCTGAATGACAACTTGTAGTTGCTCTATAAAAAAATTGAAGGATATATAGAGTGCCATATGGAATCTCCCCCCCCCCCCTTTCCGAGGGGTATCGCTAAGAGTATATTGCAAAATAAAGGATACATTGATTTAAAAAATGAAATAATAGTATGTCACTGTTCTTTTTTTGTGCAGCGGGGTCACCAAACTACGGCCCGCGGGCCGGATCCGACCCGCGAGGCACGTTCATCCGTTTGAAGTTGCTTGATGAAACGTACGGAACTCGAGACTCAATGATACAATTTAATTTTCAATACTATGTTTAGATTATCAGGAGAGCTTTATACGTGGGGAGTGGGGAGACCCCCATGGATGCCTACGCCTTAATTTAGCATTTTTAATTTTAAATTATTGTATCTAGATTTTCTTGTTTATTACAGACCTGTTTACCCTCGAACTCCTAAAATCGTACAATATCATCTCGAAATCGTGCAATATGGTATCTTAATAGTAAATACATAAACATACAGTATGAATATTAATTACAATAACTACTTGCATCGCAGTGCCCAGTGGGATCGAGTTAAGCTAGAATAAAAAAAGCTAACTACTAAAAGTAGATGACCGACGTTTATAAAACAAACTGCGGTCACTTTGTTTTGCAGACGAGTATTTGCTAGAGATATTAATTTATAGTGAGTGGACGTACATATCACACTGTCACAGTCTTTCACTGGTAAAAATTTAAGTTACTGGTGAAATTTAACGTGGTTCAAACTTGAACTCAGATCAGTATAAAACATGATGTATTTAAATAAGACTTAATTAACAAATGATGACATCATTTAAAAAACGTACCAAGTAGCTTGAGGTTGTTGCTTTGAGGAAAAGCTGTTTAAAAAAAAATAAAATAAGAATCAATTTAAATGAAGCCTATTCCCGCTAATAGATTAAAGTCTGATAACTACCACAAACCTGTACATGGGCGAGGACTGTTGGAAACATGCGGGGACATTAAAAATCGTAGTCGCCGCGATTGGAACTAACACCCTCTCGGCAAGTTCATTGGTGCGGAGAACAGAAGAGCTTGGATAGAACATAGTGCTACAGATACGTGAGAAAGCTAGGATCTTGCTGTGGTATTCTCTTGCACTGGATGAGTCTACTGATCTTTCACAACATCTAGTGTTTATTTGTGGTGTCAATTAGGACTTTCAAAAAAAAAAAAAAAAAAAAAAAAAAAAAATTTGCATCCTTTTGCAAGCATGCATGGAGCAACTTACGCCTGTGAGAAAACAGTTTCAAAAAAAAAAAAAAAAGTGTGTGAAATCAACGCATCGAACGAGAGGGATCGATGAACATTTAAATCAAAAATAATTCTTTTGATTGGATGCAGCCATTCCAAGCCAAACATTGATGATATCTTCGAAGCCAAACGTCAGTTTAAAAAATCTGTCTAAAACTTTTTGCTGCTTAGTTGATGAGATTCGAATATGCGCGCCCCAGGTCTGATGTAACCAACTTTTTGATAGCGTCGCTAACTTTGCTAACTTTTTTAGTCAATTAATATGTTGGTTGTCTTTGCTTTTTTTTTTTTTTTTTTNAGAGTAAGAACCCCCCCCCCCCCCCCCCCCCCCCAGAGCTTTCGTTCTGGCTTGCAAGCATTGTACAGAATGACTATCCGGCCCGCGCTCCTCATTTTATTTTCCCGTCATCCGACCCACCGTGAAAAACGTTTGGTGACCCCTGTTTTAGTGCACAAACTTTAGTTAAGGGAGTTAATCCGTAACACGTATTTAAAAAGGATTAAACCATATTACCTTTCTTGAGCCTGGAGGACAACGTCCACTCGGGAATTATTATTATAGACAGGTTTACAAATGGCATGTCCTATACAATGATGTTGGGTATACAATTGGATTTATCTATACGATTTAACACAGTATAGTGATGACATGAACTGTATGGCTGCGTGCTTGGGTGGCGATCTTACCCCCCCCCCCACACACACACAATAAAAAAATTGTCAAATATTTCATACTTTTATGGATACATTTTAACAAAAATTTGCTTAATTATAGAGTTAAAAACAATCAAATATCCGCGACGTGCATTACGATATGCAACAAAATTACCAGCACTAAAATTCCCCCATTTGTCCGGATCGCCTACGTATGTTTGTCAATGGTGCTTAGCTGGAGTCACCGCGTGTTTAACTAGGCTAAAAGAAGATATGTTCGACATGTCTAGTTGAAAATGGGTCTATCGATAGAGGAAAAATTATTTCCATTTGACCACTATCCTCGCTCACACGTAACTGGTCCATGGATGGGGACCGAGATTGAAAGAGTTGGTGGAACGATTCCGAGAGATTTTTTTATAAAGACCACACCACGTCGTCCAGGTAAGCATTGTTAAGAAATCTCATTGTTCTAAAAAGGTAACTATATACCCGAAGGGGAACTCTTTGTAAAAGAAAAGTTGACATTTGAAAGAGAAAAATAAAAGGTGTGTTTGTGTGTGTGTGTGGGGGGGGGGGCTGTATAGGAAATTTGCTGATATGAAGCAAGCGCCACCTATTCAAATGTATAATCATCTTCGAAATAAAAACAACAACAGTACATTTGAACTAATTTAAGACTGCATAAGGATTTAGAGCAGTGGTTCTCAACCTGTGGGTCGCGACCCCTTTCGGGGTTGCACGACCCTTTCACAGGGGTCGCCTAAGACCATCTGAAAGTACATATACCCTACAGTTATAAAGTACCAACGAAAATAATTTTGTTGTCTGGGGTCGCCACAACATGAGGAACTGTATTAAAGGGTCACGGCTTTAGAAAGATTGATAACCACTGATTTAGAGAGACACATTAAATCTTAAAAATCTTTCCAGGTCCATATCAACCATAGGCACGTTTATTTCATTGTCTAAATGTTGAAACCAAATCACGAAAGTGAAAATACATATACTTTTAAACGTTAAAGAAATGCTCACGTGATCAAATCTATTTTAAAGCAAGCCTCTTATTACCCCAACAGCTTCGCATCATCCTTATTGTCCACTTGACAGCTCTCCAAACTCTTGTTGGCATCAAACGAGTCCTCGTTTCCTGCAGTATTTGAAATATCTACCATCTCCATATCCCCACTTCCTTTCACTTGAGATTTCTCTTCCTTGTCTAGATCCTCATCCTGCTGCAGTCCGGTTCTGACGTAATCGATTGTGACGTATTCGACAGATTCCACTTCCTTCTTGATGGACACCTTGCGCGGTGATTTCTTGATGCTCTGTGTATGGGCCAGTGTGACGTAGACCAGGCCTTGGTCAGAGACGTATCTCCCAGAGTTCTAGGAACACAACAAAATTGCGTTGGTTGATATAAAAAGTATTCTCCTCTGTCTGCTTAAGTAGACACACTTCTCACAGTTCTTAATGAAATAGTTAAAATAAACTCAAAACCTTGCTATTTTCCAAACTAGCTTTTTGAAGCACTTTTATTTTGACAAAAGACAAATCGCGTAAAACAGTAAAGCTATAAGCTGATAAATATACATTACTAAATATTTCGATCCAGTTTAATTTTCCCTTCGATTTTCCTGAAAGAAAGTGGTTAAAATAAAAATAAAATAAAATAGAATATTAAGTTCTATTATATCAGCGGTTCTCAACCTGTTGGTCGCAACCTCTTTGAGGTTCAAACGACCCTTACACAGGGGTCGCCTAAGACCATCGGGATACACATATTTATGAAGTTTAGGCGAAAATAATTTATTGGGGGCTCACCACAATATGAGGAACTGTATGAAAGGGTCGCAGCGTTAGGTAGGTTGAGAACCCCTGTATTACACTGATCACTTACTCTGTCCCCTTCCAGCGTGTGATCGCCAGCTTCAGACGTAACGATCAGCTCTGTATTGGTCTCTCCGTGTTGTGGTGAGCTGGACATGTTGGCGTAGACATTGGCTGAATCAAAACAACAACGGATGTCAACAATGTTAAATAAAATGACGTGTCTTCTTCCCTTCTGCTAACTTATGACGTATGTTTTCATGGAATCGCGTTAATTAAAGATTTTTTGAACGTCCATTATCAACAAACATGTTTTTGTTATTTTTATAAATAAATTTAGTTTACAAAATCAAGATTGTAATTTAAAAAAGAAAATAACACATAGTGATTTAATCATTGTTAATCATAAAACTCACTGAATCCGTCATATTCATTTCCATCTTCCTTGGTTTCAATTATTTTTCTGAAATGTGAAATTGTTATATTTATTTTTAAAACTGAGTATAATGTAATGTCAGACATGAAATGAAAACATTACGTTTATATTTGTGTATGTTTCAAATTAAATACAGACATGTCAAAACTATTAACATAATATAATACATTTACACTTCACGTATATGAAAAAAAAACTTTTTGAAAATAGTAAAATAAATACATGTAGTGAGGTTTCGAATTCCAAAACAGTAGCAGTTCTATAGTAAAGCAAATTAAAGAATCAAGTAATCTGATAATCAAAATACATTTTGTCTAATATTATCATACTGACCCCGACCCAAAAAATAAAAAAATAAAAAAATAAATCCAGATCAAAAGTTTAAAAGAAAGAATAAAAAAGAGTATTAAAAAATACGTGCAAATTAAAACCACCCATTTCACATTTTCCTTGTGTAAATTCAAACACTCCTACATTTATTTCCTTTCGTAGCCGAGGGGGAGGGGATACGTCACACGCACTTTGAACATACGCTGGGCGCAAGATCGCTATAACACTGCTACTACTGAGTACTATTTGAATCATATCTGACGACGAGTTCATATGTGAAAACACAAGGCAACATTATGACGATAATTGCCACAAACCAATGCGGGATATTTTTTTTAAAGCATTCGAGATATAGATAAGCTATTTTTGGAAAATCGAAATTTCAGGATGATTATTGCAGAATTTTTTAATAAATGTACTTACTTTCTGCTGATACCCTTACCCACCCCCACCCCGACCAAATGCATGCGTACTCAAAATCTCCAAAATCAACAACCCCCACTCCCACTCAGTGCGCACGCACTAAATAGATGGCACCTTACCAAGCTGCTCCACATAGTTATATTATTAGGTTACAATAGATTTAACATAAACATTCACATCATTTGGAATTAGTTTTAGAGCAATATAACACTAAAAGTTAAGCTATATTATATTTGCTAGAATTTACAACAATCTACAATAATCAAAGAACTTACCGTTGTCCGGGGCGAATGCCTGTAATATTAATGTATGGAAATTACTTTAAAATAACTACATTGAAGCCCCCCCCCCCCCAAACTCTTAAAGTTGGCTGAAAATACCACGCAACAGTTTTGTTTATAAAAAATTGCCGCCTTGTGCAGACTGTCACTCCTCACACCACCTTTTACACCAGTGAACATAAGTCTCTAAATGCCGCATTTAAAATGTAAAAAAAAATTATTAATAATTGATCATTTAACTTAAAGATTAAACTCTAATAAAAGAAAAGAAAATAAGGACTTGATTTTACAACAGTAACATTAAAAGATCATCTTACCACTTGTACAATAAAAACATAATGTATCTACTGAAAAGCTTCATGGAAGCCCAAACATCTTCTTTAAATTGGTCAAATGCGTTTTTGTTTTACTAATCGTTTGAAAAGAATAATCTTGATCACCTCTTTTCTTGATCACGACGGCAACAAGTGCCACAACAATGACCACAACAGCTGCACCACCGACCGCCATAGCACCGGTATGAAGATCACCCTTACTTTCTTGTTGTTCCAAGCTTACCGCACCTGGGTTTTGATGATGATAAAATAAATTAAAAAAATTGCATGTAAATTTCTTCAACATTAGAATAATGCTTCTCTATAATGTATTCAACATCCTTTAAAAAAGTCTAAGAGTATGAGGTCCCGCGAAGAGAAAGCTTCGTCTTTGGCGATGTCTGAATTGGGCGGACAGCCCCCACTGTCTTGAAATAAATTTATTTCATGTAGGTTGTTTCGTATCATAATGTGGTTTTGAAAATTGAATCAGTTTGAAGATTTGGTTTCTTTTCTTATATGAACACTTATGTAATCAAGGACTGAAAACCTTTATACAAAGAATAATGATACCAAAGCTAGTGTTACTAACAATGTTCAATTTAGTTATACTATTAAATTTATATAAATAAAAATGTAAATATTCAGAAAATTAATCAACTTACAGTAAGTAAAAAGGTACAATTCTCAAAAGATGTAAATATCTATTTACACACACACAAAAAGTGTACAGTCTCGTAAGTTTATTTCGTCTCGTAAATAATTGGTAAAATTGGAAAAAAATCTCTCCCTGCAGGGAAAGCTGTCGGATTGTATATTGTGATTAAATCAGAACAATCCAGAAAAGATTTGTCTAGAATTTGTGTCACCTGCTAGCATTTGTCGGAAGAGTCCACGCCGACTCCAAATCACCAATTAGACGAGCTCTCATTCAAGCTGACTATCGCATTCTATATGTTATATTTATTTAAATAGACCCGTTACACTTGATATTTGGCTCATACCTGTACGCGTAGTCCCAGTCATGGTCACATCACACAAACCGGACTCTTCAATTTGTAGACCAAATCTGTTAGTTGACGTCACACGGAACTCGTACGTCGTGTCGGATTCCAGGTTATCGAGAGTGACGTACAGCCGACCAAAAGAGTCCATATTTGTCGTCTGTACCTCATGTGTCTCTTGTGACGTTTCATTCATTTTCTTATAGATAATACTGAACTTTTGTTCAGCTCCTCCATTAAATCCTGGTCTGAAAGACACTATGACATCATTGGACCCTATCTCTCGAATGGTCAAGTTGGTTGGACACAAAGGAGGACCTGGTATGTTTTTAAAATTCATACTAAAATATATATATGGAAATAAAGGATATAGCAAACTTGGATATCCTAATGGGATATGACGATTGAAATTTGGGGGAAAAAAGAAAATTAAAAATGAGGTTACATAAAACGATGAAATAGTTTGTTGTCTTTTATTCGTGCGCCCCCCCCCCCCAATCCTCCACCCCTGTCCAGGCTGACATTCACCAGTTTAATAATTTATTGACTGTACAGCCCCTTAACACATATTATTAAATTTTCAAATTGATTTTGCAAATTCTTTTGATGACACCAAAAAAGTTGTGGACATTGTATCTTTTCAATTCGTTGTACTGATGAGGCCATTTGTCTCAACCTCTTAAATGCATATTTAGTTATTTCATTACATCTATCGACTAATCAGCGTGCTTGTTCAATAATCATTGTACAAGTGTCAAAAGTTGTTTTTTTTTCTAGGGCATTGAGTTCATCAAATTGTTTGTGTCTCATACATAATTAAGCTTTATCGCAGTCCGTTTCTCTTGTAATAAGTTAATATTAAAGCCTGTACCTTCATACCTTCAGCTTGAATATCTAGAACCAAGCTTGTATTGCGTCCATTGAACTCAACATTTATATATTGTACACCAAAGTCTTCTGGCTTGATATTTTGTATATGTAAATTGATTGTTTTATTCAGATGTCCATAAAAGCCCAGACTCCAGCTGTATCTGTTAAACAGTTCTGTTTGTTCAATCACGGTCTCGTTCAGGTAGAGCTTCGGTTGTTCAAACGTTTCTTGATACATTGTCAGACAGAAAGATACGGTGACATTATCATGGACTTTGGCTTTTATGGGTTTTGATTGGTCAATACTGGAGCACAGCTGAGCTTCACCTTAACATGAGGTTAAAAATGTGTTTAAATCTGAAATGAACTATTTCATCTTAAGACAAATTAATAGACAAAAAAAGAAACAACTAGTAGACTACAATATTTTTTTTAAAAAAGGAACAACAAAGACCAAAGAAGAATAAGACAGTGCTATGTCTGCACCACACAAGTCTGAAAAAAAAATCAGGTACAAAGAAAAAAATATTAAGATATTTAAAGCTTACAAGCAAACGTAACCTATGTGCACATCCTCTGTTTTAACATATAATGACATATAAACTGTAAACATATATATTAGACAGTAAGACTGTAAAAATACTTGTAATTTTGAAGACCACATAATTAAGCGTCGAATTCAGTGTCTGCGAACTTCGGTAAATTACCCCAAATAGAGTAAATGGAATTCTTTGGGGAGAGGAAGGGGATGATAAGGGCTTAAAAGATAAAAAATAAAATATTTTTATTAAGGGATTTTTTTCTTTAATAAAATTTTTTGTATGACACTGCTGCAGCCGGGCTCTTGTGGTTACTAATGATGGCTCAGCAGCCTGCGCTCCGGATCTATGAGTATTCGACGCATCCACTTCAACAACACCTTTTTGCCTTCGAATGTTTCTCCCCCGCCTTTCCACCCATGGCCATTTCAATCCGGCCATTCTGCCCCTGGCCTTTCCATCCCTGGCCATTGCACCCCGGCCACTTTGCCCCTGGCCTTTCCAGCCCTGGCCATTCCGTCCCTGGCCGCTTCGAAGACGTTAATATGGAAATTATTTAAAGAAGAAAGTGATAATTTAAATACACATGTGATTAGAAAAATGTTGAAGTTTCAAGAAAAAAAAAATACAAGTCAAAGTTAATTTGTGGGCTTTGTGTGATTGATTTTTCTTCGTCTTAGGGATCGTTCGTAAATTACGTCACGCAAAAAATGACCTTTTTGTCACAAATTATTTAACCCCCCCCCCCACCCGTGTCACGTCACACCTAGAAACATCAAAAGATAGATATAATGTTCATAACTAAACTAAGATTTTATTTTATTCTTTAACATATATATAAGAATTAGCTAGGTTCACATAACGCTAAGAGGGAGACATGATTTAAGTACGTTCGGATTCCTAAAATAGCAATCATAGTTATTTTCTATTATTTTACGGAAATCGAATAAATTTAAATACGCAAAAATATTTTAAAGCTGCTTTTATATTAGTAAACCTTTAACTATTATTATTATAAATTACAAATACATTTAAAGTATCAACTAAGGAACTATTTTAAGCATTTTATACGTGTTTAAAAGTTATGAAAAAATTTAAGAAATAAAAAAATCATGATCAAAGAATTACACCGTAATCACATTTTTCGGGAAAAACCAAGAATCAGTCGTTTTTAGTGCGTCTTTTAGTGTGTAGTTAATATTGCGAAATAAAATTGTTAATTAATTTGTTCTAAATAACTATTAGGTTTCTTTTAATTTAATAACC